CTCTGGCTCAGAAGGGCAATCCAGAGGAGGGGGACTGGAGCTGCTAACCTACTGCCTCTCCTCCAAACTTTTTCCTCAGAAAGGACTCCCTTCTCCTTCCTTGGCCCCTCTCAGCTGTTTCCACCACTGCCGTTCCCTCAAGGCTGTCCATGCGCATCAGCTGTCCCTTTCTTCCTCACACACCTTGTTCATTCACATGGTGAAGGCCCACACAGGGGGATTCCGTTGCATTCTCATGGGCCCAAAGTCCTGTCTGGCTGGATTTCCACTTCATCCTGGCCCAACACAATCATGCATTGTCATGCTGACAACTGCCCGGCCTGCATCTCTACTCTTGACTGCTCCCCTGCGCCCGGATTCTAACTCCCAAGCTGCCTGCTGGTCACTTCCATTCTCATGCCCCTCCACTCACCCAAATTCAACTGGCCTTAACACAGGGCTCACTGTTTGTCCCTTTCTACAGATCGCCTTCCTACCATCAGCCTTCAAAGCTCAGTCACCTCTGAGCCTTCACAGCCTCTGTTAAATCTATCTGTAAGACTTGTTGATTGCCCCATGGAAGTAAACCTAGCTGAAGGCCAGATTCAGCCCCAAGGTCAATGGTCCACTACTACCTCTGGTTCATAGCTTGGATTTAGATACTTAATTATATGATTACCAGTATTGCTATTTTAAAATCTCAAGTCTATTTCAATAGGTAATACAGTCATATAAGATCCCAAAGGAACAAAGGGAAATTCAGTGAGAAGTTAATCTCCTTTCCTTCCTTGTCCACCAGCCATTCAGAACCTCTCCACAGAGGTGACCACTCTCTGAGCTATTTAACCATGCATTAACTCTCATGAGATTCTCCAAGAGCAAGGACTAGGTCTTGTGCTTCATATCTATCAAAGGAATGGGTAAAGTGCATGGGTGTCTGCGTGATAAGTCATTTCAGTCATGTCAGACTCTTTGTGACCCCATGGATTATAGCCCTCCAGGCTCCTCTGTCCATGGGATTCTCTAGGCAAGAATACTGGAGTGGGTTGCCATGTTCTCCTCCAGGGGATCTTCCTGACCCAAGGATTGAACCCATATCTCTTATGTCTCCTGCATTTGGCATGCAGGTTCTTTACCACCAGCGCTACCTGGGGAACCCAGGTAAAGTACAGGCCCTCAAAAACTACCTTTATATTAGGGGAGAATCTGACTCCAAGAACACTATCCTTTGCAAAATCATCAACAATCTTTTCACTGGTATAGACTTTTCAATCCTAATTTTGTTTCTCCTCTTTGTAATACTTAGTCATATGCTGGATATGAGCTATTTGTCCCTCCAAATCCCTCCCCACCCTCCCCTGCCCTGCTCTGAGGCCCAGGAGGAAAACATGAGTGGCTCTCTTGTCTTCAAGCTTCTGGCTGAACTTCAACCAAGGGGAGGTAGTGCTAAGAAACCCTGAAGTCACCTTGAAAGCAACAATCAACAAGTCCCACACTGAATTCATTATGCTCCCTGCCAGGAGGCTCCTGCTCCTGCAGTCACTATCCAGTGATTGGTACCCTCACCCACAGGGTGGCTGCCTTCATCAGAAACCCAGGCATGTTCTTTCACCCCTACTCATCTTCAGTGCCCAGGAGGTCACTGCACTCATTCATTCTAATTCACTCTTTCTCAAATTTGCCCTCTTCTCAGCATCTGAGTGTCTTACCTGACTAACTGCATGGACCTCTTTCTTGGTCCTTCTTTTGCCTCTGGTCCTGAGTTTCTGCAGTCCAGTGTCTACTTTGCCACCAGAGTCATCTTCCTAATCACACTGTTCTCCTGTCTGACTCTTCAAAGGCACAGAACTGCCCACAGGAAAAAAGCTAAGAGTCCCTAAGCAGGGTTCTTACCTGGCCTTGAAAGCCTCTGAATTTCCTGGCCCTTCCCTACTCCCCCTCCTTACATCCACTCAAAAGAGATGCAGGTTCCTTATAAACACACTAGTCCCTACAGTCTTCTTCTGGCTAATTTCAATCTATCTTTCAAAACTCAGCTCAGGAAACCCCTCCTCCATGAGTACATTCTTGATCTATCCCCAAATGGGTGAGATGCCCCCTCTCATGAGCTTTCATGGCACCCTGTGATAATCTCTACCCTAGAATTACCATACTTTGTCTTTCTCCCCCACCATAGTATGGGATCCTTGAGTCAGTGAGGTGGTAAGACTTCATCTTTGCAGCTCCAGCACCCTGTCCAGTATCTGGCATGAAGTAGGTGCTCAATAAATCTTGCTGAATAAACATGCAAGAGTAATAAACTCAGTAACATGCCTAAAAACAGCACAAATAATGTTACTTGTAGAATGCAGGAGCAGGTATGTGGTATTCCAACTTTTCTGTATGCTTGAAAATTTTTTTATAATAAAACCTTTGGAGGGAAAGTCACATACATAAATATGCCCTAAACTTTCTGCAAGTTTTTAAATATGAAAAGTAACAGAAACAAGAAAAGAAAGAAAAATTATTCCCATCTCTTCAGTGCTGTCCTTACTGTGATTTCCTGAAATCCTCCCTTCTGCTCCTGGCCTCCCTCCTGGTTATCGGCCATCTCCCCTCTCCACCTTCTCCTCCTTGTCCTGCTGACTGCACTCCCTCTTCAGTCACACACACACACACTCTCTATCTTGGTAAAGCCTGGGGATGATGCAGGGTATTACTACCTGAAGGATCATCAGAGGTGGTGCTGACATTGATCTGGATGGTTTCAAATGGGGATGTTGGATCATCTCCCAGGAGGCAGAGTGGGGGTGCCAAGGACTCTGATTTCACAACCAACATCTCCCCTACACCAGGGGCCTGGGTAAGAGTGAGGGTGAAGCAGGGGGGACAGAAACAAGAAATAAAACAAAAAGGATGTGTTGAGAGTAAAAGCCAGAACAGAAGCCTTAGAGCTTACAAACCACCAGTTACTTGACATTCTCATTTGAATAGTAGTCAGCATCTTGCTAAGCTGTGTCTGGCCCCTTGTTCTCTATTTTATTCCTAGGAAGGTGGATAAAGTCTCATGATTTCAAATATTGCAGTGGACAACTGGGACAAGAACAGTTCCACAATTCTCAGCAGTTAACAACTCTCTTCTTCCCTGTCCCCCTACCTTGCAACGGCCGCCACATTTCTCTCTATATTAAAAAATTCCATCTTTGACTCTAGACAATCGAGTGGAAATGTAAAAAATGAAGATATAAAGAAATGGCAAAGGTAGAAAAGAACCTCCCCCCTCCACCCCAAGACCTGCAGCCCACAAATCATTCCCTTAGCATCAGTAGATGAAGGCAAGGGAACGAGTCCCTGTCACAGAGAGTAGGAGGAAGATGACTGTCTCACCTGGCTGGAGGGCTCTGTGGAAAGATGCGATGATTCAGAGCTGAGGGAGGAGGAAGAGCAAGGGGAGGATGGCTCAGACTTCACCTGGAGATCTGGAGGAAAAGGGGTTAGAAAATAACCACGAAGCGGAGTCTGACAAGAGCCCAAAAAGCGCCCGACGGGGTAAAAATCCCTCACTGGGCAAAGGAGAAGGAGCACATTTCTGGGGTCAAAGGGGGAGAAGAGTACACAGGCACTCAGGTGGAGGAAGCTTGAGGATAAGAGGAACTGCACAGTTTCTGGGAAACAGTGGGAAGATGGGGGTTTCTGAAAGGATGAGGGAATCACAAAGGGTATCTTACCTGGGAAGATAGGAAGAGAGTCCCAGGGGGGTTCAGGAGGGCTGACGTCCATCCCCAAGTCCAGGGAGCTGCTGCCAAACTGAACAAGGGGGCCGGGTATTAGAAGGCAGAAGTGTGAGGATGAAAGGGTGCTCTAGCTGAGCGCTGGCTTGGGAATGAGTCCCGGTTCTGGGACCACTCCCAGCCACCAACGGTGAGAGACAAGGCTTGGGGAGCGATACCGGGACATCCTGCTCAGGACAACGGAAGAGCTGCGTCTGCTCCTCGGCCACTTCATCCAAACCGGCGTACAAAGTGCTGTCTGCAAGAGGTGCGGAGGGTCGGGGATCGTCCGGTAGCGCAAACTTCAGATCCTCACAGAGCCCTCTCCCCATCCCTCATTGGCTCAGCTCGGCCAGACCCACCGCCCGCCCACTTGAAAAGTGATATAGCTAAAGAACTTCAGTCCCTCCTTCCCCAATCCCAGAACAATTCCACATTTCCGCGGGAGCGGAGGTTTCCCCCGACTCCCTCATCCCCCAAAGCACAACTATCCCCCCTGTTCCGCCCTTCTTTAGACGATCGATTCTGTATTTGCCCAGTCTTCCTCTTCGAGCCTCCGCTTCCTCCAACGTGCCTCAGGGGCACGGCAGGCCACAGCCCTATCCCTTCCCCGAGGCGCCTCACTCCGCGCACCCCAGTCCTCCGGGCTCAGCAAGTTGTCGGTGAAAAACCGTGTCGGGTCCGCAATCTCGCTGAGGAGCATCAGCTCCGCCATCTTTCCCCCCGCCCCCCAACCACGAGACGGTCCCCAAGGCCCGCCTCTTCCCCATCATCAACGAATCAATTGACTCTTAAAAAAAAGGGAAGGGGCGTCCCGGAAGCCCTACCGACCAGTAAGAGGCCTGGGTACTGAGCACATGCGTCAATAGAAGCGACGGTGTACAGGCTGGGCCAATGGGAGCGCAGCAGGACGCTAACGCTCCCACAGTACTGGACTGTAAGGTTTGCGCATGCGCCAAACAAACTCCTGAAAGCGCCTAGGAAGTGTGGCTTTCAGGCTTTGGAGTTCCGCCCTCTGCCCCAGCCAGTCCTAAATTTAGAAGTTTAGCTCATCGATTCATCTTCGGAGATGGACAAGCCCCCCCAAAACATAGCACACGTGATTATATAGCTTTTTAATGGTAAAAAGGGACGCTGAGACCACAGCTACCTCCCTTAGGAAGGCAGAAGCTTGGAGTGGGATATGGTGCACCTCTCCCTTGAGCCCCACCACATCTCACAGCATAGACCACACTTCACAGGTTCCTGTCTCTTTTAAGGTTTAACTTTTAATCAGCCAAACATCTTGCGCAGTCCTTGAGCCAGCCCTGCATCCTGTTTCTTCCCCTGAATGATCACCTTTCCCAGCTCCTCCTGGGCTGCCCGGTTTTTGGGGTCTACGGCCAACACCTTCTTGAGGTCAGTCATTGCTTTTTCCAGGTTTCCAAGAGCAGCCTGGGCAACGCCCCTTCGGTACAACGCCTTTATGTGGCCAGGCTCCCGCTCCAGCACCCGGTCACAACTTTGGGCCGCCAATTGGGGCTGCCCTAGCAGCAACTGACAGGCAGCCAGGTTGGCGTGAAGGACAGTTCGTTCCGGAGGGCCAGGTGGGGGTAAGGTCAGCAGCAGCCGAAGAGCCCGTGCATAGCATCGGGCAGCTCCTTCCGGATTCCCCGCTCGAAATAATTCTGTGCCCCTTGCACGTTCTTCTCTGGCCAAGGCCTCCTTCTCGGTGTCCTCCAGCTCCCAGGAGTCTCGACCCTGAGTGAACGAGGCCAGTGTGAGCCTGACAGGAAGTCCAGAGCGCCCAGGGAGCTGAAGCTCTGCCTCCTCGCCTTGACACATGGACTCCAAGCATTTCTCTATGATCTCCCCCCAAGTTTCCTCCCTCCATGGGCCTAACCCCACAGTTAGCTCTGTCCAGCCCTCTGGCAGCCCTAACCCCAAAGGAAATCCAGAAGCTTGTACCCTGCAGCGGGAGCCCAGCTTGGGTTTGTCCAAGCCGTGGCCACGGACTACGATCTTTTTGACAAAGCTGCCATCAGGACAGTACCAGAGATCAGAAGCTTGAAGAGGCTCTGACATCACACTGGCTGATCCATGAGACTTAGCAGAGTCTCTTTCAAGTTCAGCGGCCAGTTTTTCAGTTTGCTGAGGATTCTCTAGAATTTGGCTAGCTGGATCTGGGCTCACTCTCAGTTCAAGGATTTCCGTAGGAGAGTCTCGCGGATGCTGCCTAATCTGAGTAGGTAATTTAAGGTTCTTTTCCCCTTGTTGCGATTGACAGCTGTCCTTCTCTCCCATTGAATTGACTGGTGGTGTATCCATTTGTGTGCCTGGCCCCTTCCACCGTGGGTAAACAGTTTTGGATAGAAAGGGATGGACCGAGTCCAGGTCAGCACCTGATTTAAAAAAATCAAAGCAATGCTATTGGCAGACATTTTATTTAGACTCCTTTTCCGTCCTTTTGGGACCCCGAACCGCGGTCCTCAAAGTCCTCTTTTTTTTTTTTCCCCCTTCCCGAATCTCTGTCGGGTCCAGTTTCCCCTCCAACCCCGAACTAACTCGGAACTACAAGTTCCACAATTCCCTGCGGCTTGGGTAGCCATTCGCAACTACGGAAACCCGATCGAGTCAAAAAATACCTGGGGGGGGGGCCGAAGCGCCTTGCCTGATGGCAATAGCCAGACCATTCAAATCACCTCCTCTTCCGAAGCCAGGTGCTACTGAGTACTGTCCTTGGAGTCTTTCCCCAGGTGGAGAAGATGGAAAGGGGAGCCAGGGGACAGCTGGACAGAGACACTGACAGCTAACCCTGGAGCCCGAGAGACAAGAGAATCTAGTCAAATTCCTGGCAGCCAATCGGGAGGAGGGAGAAGTCTGATTAAGCCCGCCTTTTGGACGTTACATCATTTCCCCCACTGACTCACCGCCACACCCCAGCAACCGAGAAGCTTCAGGCCTTTGCGACCGGACTAGGCCAAATCGTACCGAGCTAGGCGAGGTACGGCTGCGTCAGAGTCTGGAGAAGGTCTGGAATGGGAGATTGGGCCCAAAGAGGATATAATGAGGAATGATGGAGTTGGGGTGACTGATCGCGGCTGTGACCAGTCCTTTTATCTGGCCACCTGAAACCCACGTGTGCTATTCTATTAATACTTACCCCTACATTTGGCTCAGACAGAGAAGAATCTGCCTGCAGTGCAGGAGACCAGGGTTCAATCCCTGGGTCATGAAGATCCCCTAGAGAAGAAAATGGAAACTCACTCCAGTATGCTTGCCTGGAAAATTCCATGGACAGAGGAGCCTGGCATGTTACAGTCCACGGGGGTCACAAAGGATCAGACAGGACTGAGTGACTTTCACTACATTTGGGACACCCGGTCAGAGTGGTCCGTTCTGTCCAAGGTCCTTCAAAATAAACCCTGGGGGAATTCCCTAACAGTCCAATGATTAGGATGCTGAGCTTCCTCTGCAGGGGACTGGGGTTCCATACAGCTGAGGCTTGCCTTACCTTTGCCTCATGTTCATCAATGCCTTTTGAGCTCTTCTCCCTCAAGGAATCTTATAGACAGTGCTTTTCAAACTTTGATGACCCTACACATTATCTGGGGAACTTGTTAAATGCATGTTCTGACTTAGGAAGTCTAAGGTGGGACCTGCTACTCTGCATTTCTAACAAGCTCTTGGATGTTGCTGCTGGTGGTCCCATGGACCACACACTTTGAATAGTGTGATGCTAGAACAACCTCCGGAGAAGCAATGTCACCCCACTCTAGTAGTCTTGCCTGGAAAATCCCATGGATGGAGGAGCCTGGTAGGCTGCAATCCATGGGGTCGCTGGGAGTCAGACACGACTGAGCGACTTCACTTTCACGCATTGGAGAAGGAAATGGTAACCCACTCCAGTGTTCTTGCCTGGAGAATCCCAGGGACGGGGGAGCCTGATGGGCTGCTGTCTGTGAGGTTGCACAGAGTCGGACACGACTGAAGTGACTTAGCAGCAGCAGAATAATCTCATCCTGTTCTTTTGACCTTTTAGTCTGTGTCCTTTTAGTTTGTTCAAGTATTTTGTTTATGCATACATCCTCAGTCTGTCCGACTCTTTTGTGACCCCATGGACTGCAGCCAGCCCGGCTCCTCTGTCCATGGAACTTTACAGGCAAGAATACTGGAGTGGGTTGCCATTTCCTACTCCAGTGTTTTACATGTATAACTAGTATAACCTGATCCACTGGACATATCAGTGGAAAAACCGGTCCTCCTCTTCCTAATAAAACATGTAGGTCCCTATTTATGATTCAGGCTTGCTCATCCAGCTCCCTGCATAGGCAGACTATGACAGCTCTTCAGGGAAGGAGAATTCCACTCTTAGTTTTCACTTTGGCTCCCTCTTCAGTTTGCAATTGTTCAGTTCACAATCGTGTCCCAGACTAAAGGACCATGCCAGGACAGCCAGGAGGGGAAGTAATGTCATCATTAGCCACAGACTTGTGTCAAAACAGCCCTCTCCGTTCATTTTGTGTTGAGTCTCAGATCACTAAATTAGACCTTTTTTCCCTTCAAGCTTTATTACTAGGTTCTGTGCTAGTGTAACCTTAGTCCACTTCAACTAAGGCTAAATACTCTGATTCTTGGAATCCTTACTGTTCTTTTGAAAGCTGATCTACCTTTTCTCCCTCCCTGTTCCATTTCAGGGATTTCTAGGAAAGACAGAAAGTCTAGAATGAGTCACAGAGGATTTGATTACATTCTGATCCCTGGACAAAGTTTGCTAATTTGTATTATGTGTGCCTTAATTTTGAGGTCCACTCCAATGACCCTTCAGAGATTAACTTCTCTCAATTAAAAAAAACTACTCTGCTACATATGTATTACTTTGTAATGGTCTCTTACTGTTTTGTGTGTATATGTTTCAGTTCCAACAGATTCCACAAGGCATGGGCCTTATCTCTATTTCTTTCCTTTTTTTTTGAGGCAAGGAAAGCAATCTTATTTGGAAAGTAGCAGACCAAGAAGATGGCAGACTAATGTTTCAAAATAACCATCTTATGGGGTCTAGATGCCAGTTTGTTTTATAGAACAGAGAGGGAGAGGAGATGAGGAAGTAAAGTAAAAAGGCCATTTTTCTTTAAAGTAGGAGGGAATGTTTTAATTTCTGCAGCCATTGACAGGTGGACTGGGTCAGACTGTCCCACTGTGAGCTGAATAAAGTGCCTCTATTTCTTTTGTGTTTCATCTCCTTCTCCATTCATTCATTCAATAAATATTTATTGAGCACCTCCTATGTTCTAGACAGGATGCTAGGAACTGGGGATACATAAATGAATGAGACAGACAGTCCCTATTCTCATGGAGCTTATAGTTGGGGCATGGAGAATAAGTTGTATGAAGAAGTGAGAGATGCTTTGAGAGTGAATGAGGGGTGAGGGAATATCCCTTGAGGATGAGACTTTTTTCCTTTTGGTTGAGCCTCAGAGTATTTTGGGATCCTAGTTCCCCAACCATGAACTGAGCTCATACCTCTGCATTGGAAGTGCAGAGTCTTAACTACCCTTACTGCTAGGCAGTCCCAAGGATGAGACATTTTTGTTACCATCTAAAGAATGAGTTAGAACTGAACCTCTGAGAACACAATAGACCACATACTGAGAAACACTGAATTAAAAGTTTAACTTTGTCTCTTTGGGTGGTCCCTTGTCATCATTGTGACTATATGTAAAAAACAAACATAAGGGACTTCCCTAATGGTTCAGTGGTTAAGACTCCAAGCTCTCAGTGCAGGGGTCATGGGTTCATTTCCTGGTGAGGGAACTAAGAGCTTCACCAAAAAGAAAAAAAAAAAAAAAATGTCGAAAACAAGCAAATACACTAACAAAGGCCCCAGACCGTTAAAGATAGTAATCAAAATCACCCAGGAAGAAAATATTTTTATTTTTAAAAAGATGACCCATTAAAATGAAAATGCAAAATTTAAGTTTTATAAGAGGACTCAAAAATCCCCAGAAAAGACATTTATGGATGTGTAAATCCCCCCTGTTCTCAGCTTGGGAAGCACAGGCCTAGGAAGGGGTCAAGATGTGAAGACTCAGAAATGGGAAATAGTATCGGCTGTCCCCCTAAAGCGTTACAACATGAATGTTGATGGACACACTACTTGCTCTCTCTCAGTTCCCCTACCCTTGCATCCTATATTCTAGGGCTCAGTTCTCTGGAGATAGTCAGTAAGGAATGAAAAAAGAGAAGAGAAACAAGCCTGGAGGATTATATCCCCAGGCCTGTTTAGAGATCATTGGATCTCAGAAGATCTGGCCTTATTCTACTGCTCTCCTTGCCTGACCCCATAAAGGCATTGTTTTGCCTTCATTAGAGATTTAATCCTGGGAATTCCCTGATGGTCCAGTGGTTAAGACTCCCCCTGTGCAAGGGGCACAGGTTCAATCCCTGGGAAAATAAGATTCCACATGCTGCTCTGCTGCAGTCAATAAATAAATAAAGACCTGGTCTGATGGGAGAATGCAAAGAGAGAGAGGTTCAGGAGCTGGTGCAAGGTAATTTGTGAACTGATTGTTGTTACATGTTGTCTTAACACACACAGAGCCCTCTAATAGGTGAAGTTCTGTTCTGTAAGCAGATAGAGTAGGGGTGGTCCCCAGAAGAAAAGAATCAGATAACAGCTTTTTAACATAAGAGAAGCCACTTTAGGCCCAAGACATTTTGTGATCTAAGCCTGGCCATAATGCTTGCCCTTGAACAAGTCTCAGTAATAATGATCTTACGAGAACAATGACTGTTAATGATCTCAGAGAGGCAGCAGTGAGTGGTCCTAAAGACAGATCTTAGTTCTCTCCCCAGGAATTGAACCTGGGTAATCTGTACTTTGGCCACCTCATGCAGAGTTGACTCATTGGAAAAGACCCTGATCCTGGGAGGGATTGGGGGCAGGAGGTGAAGGGGGCGACAGAGGATGAGATGGCTTGATGGCATCACCGACTCGATGGGCATGAGTTTGAGTAAGCTCCGGGGGTTGGTGATGGACAGGGAGGCCTGGCTTGCTGTGATTCATGGGGTCGCAAAGAGTCGGACACGACTGAGCGACTGAACTGAACTGAACTGAATCTAGATGAGAAAGAACCCTAGCCACCAGACCAGAACAGTCTAGAGATTAGAAGCAAAGTGACCCTGGCTCTTTATCCCCTTTTGAAAGCAAGAATGTTTCAAGGAGGCAAAAACTATAAAAACAGATACAAAGTTAGAGAGACAGCACAACACTGGGAGATCACACAGAGGGAAGCAGTCTGTTTATTTAAGACTGAAGCAAGGCAGAA